TTTTCTGGTACACCCGTCAAGCAGGAATTCGACAAGTTTCTCTGGTAGCTTGTCAATGACGCGATGGTGAGATTTTTAGGTTTTGAAAAGGGTTTATTCATAACAAAGCACCTAAGTTACAAAATAAAAGTGCTTGACTTCATTGTTCCCAAGATTTCATTAATGGTTCTCTCCGTACTGTCTGCAATACAATTCTTATGATTACGAACTTGGAGAGTTTGGTACTGGATCAACTAATAATCCCTCCCGATTAAAATTTTTTTACTCTCATCACTTTTTCGCTTGATATGGTAAGGGGAAATTATTTCTTGATCAATTATGGGTGTAGGAGAGTTATTATTGACACAACACAATGATCGGTTACAGTGGTGGATCCAGGGGGAGGGGCCCTGGGGGTCCGGACCCCACCTATCAAGACTGACGCTTACAACTTTGAGACTGAAATTCTTACATCGACAGGATCGTGGATCACTTTTTATCTGGCTGATTTTGTTAATGAATCCAAGTAAGCGGTAAGCGGACAAGGAATCATAACGTGACACCGCGACTGGTGGGAGGGGGGGAAGAGAAGTAATTTGCCTCAAAAGAGTCTAACAGTCCTTTCTGAGCCAAAGTTTGGATCCCCCCAATCAAAAATTCCTGGATCCGCCTCTGGGTTACAAAAAATAAGGGGAAAATATGGCAAAAGGGAACAGTTTCTTACCAACAAATCAAATCCTTTATTCTCACTTCTTGTTCATTTGAACTTGTTAAATAAAGGTAGAGAGAAAAGGGTTTTCTTATTGCAAATCCGTCGAGTTTTAAACAATTCAGGCAAATTACAACAGTTTTGTTTTAAAATAATGTTTTCTTTTGTGCAAGTACAGCTACGACTTTTTTGAAAACAACGCTCTCCTTGCTACGGTCTTGTACCTCCCTGCAGAAGGTATCCTGGTTATAATTTTTTTGTATCGTCATTTTTTGAATCGATAGGCAGGGTAACACGCTTTAACTAGTGTCCATGCTTTCTGCCGAGCCAGCATCTCTCTGAATAGAATCAAACATGGAGGACAGCTCGGAACTTGATTTGATCTGCGCCAGGAATTCACTGAGCAAGGGACTTTTATCTAGAACAATAAAAAGAAAAATGGTCTCTTGGCGCAGAAGAAAAAAAAATGAATGTCAGCCCTAAGAAAATGGAGGAATGGCCTGTCCAGTTTTCCACGTCTCGACAAACACCCCTTTCCCATGTACAATCTGTCACAGATAAGTGTCATCCGCAACCAAATCTTACCTTGACTAGATAGAACCATTTTCAACTAAGTTTCGAGAGTAATCTGGGATTACAATGGTTCTACTTCACTTAACTGCGTGATTGGTCCAGAGAACTCGTGCCACTCTCGCGACCAATCAGAAGCACAACGATTACAAAACGACTTTGTCCCCCCCGCTTTCCCGCGCTTTATGGGTTTTGCTCGTTTTCACTTTGAGCTCTCATTGGCTCTTCGGTGTATTTTCCTCTCTTTTGATTGTTCGTTTGTGATTACTTTGGTTTTTATTTCACGACACTTGCAGGTGTGGTGACCAACGTAACCCCAAGCCATAGCCACCGTTTACCTGCTCGTAATTATACGAGTCACTAAGTCACGTAATCTTATTCTTTGGATTAACACATTTCATATTGCCAAAGCTACTGCTGCGAATGCTTCTGCTGCATCTTCGGAAATATTTGAGAGCGTTCGGTTGGAAGAACGTTCACCTTTGTCGAATACTATTGCTTCGAATGTTTACACGTATCTTCCGTAATCTTCGGGCGCGTTCGGTTAGGAGATCTTCAAAAACAGCATGAAATGATGTGAAGTCAGCGTTACAGCTGTATTGACTATCATCAAAATTAATGTTTCTTTTGTACTGATCGACGTCATAGGTTTAAGTGCAAATTAAAACACTTACCACTGTCTGGAATCGACAACAGGGCAGCCACAGCTCTTAATGCTGATCTCTTCAACTCGTCTTGTTTTTCGAATTCTTGCTTAACGGAGTTAGCCTTCACCTTTGTTTGTAATGTCGCACGTAACGGTTCCACAAGAATATCCACACCTAGGAACAAAGAGAATAAAAACTACTGAAATAATCCCAAGGAAAGACCAACTCCACCCGAAAAAAACCCTTTCTTCGACGAAACACCGCACCCAGTCACAAAAATGCGGCGTATATTTGAGAATTATGAGAAATAAAGAAAGGCAAAGAAAACAAAGGAAAGAAACAAAGCAAAGGGATAAAAGAAAAAGGACAGAAAGAAAATAGGAGAGAGAGAAAACGAGAGAAAAGCCACCATATAAGGCCTTTTCTTGTGAATACTCACGCTGTAATATAGCATTGGGACACAACGAGGACAGTCTCACTAACATCAGAAACGTCAGCATCTGAATGAACAACAAGGATTTTCAGACTATGAACAAGGTAGCAAGCGATCAGCGAAAGGAGAGGGGAGCGGCATCTCCCTATTGGGTTTGGGCTGAGGGCGAACGCTGATTGGTTTAACTTTTTCATATCATTTTTATTCAGTAGAGATGTACTTGCAAGCTTATTTGCTCCCCCAAATCATTCCGTTGTACAAAGAGAACGTTTAATAGTTCACCCTTGGCAAAAATTGGTAACGACGACAAAAAAGACCTTGGTACCACAACAAAATTTCACAACTTCAAGCAAAAAAGTAAGGAAAGTAAAAAAAAAAAAAAAAAAAAAAAAAAAAAAAAAAAAGTGAAAAAAATATGAAAAATATCAGCAAAGGATACTGTTTGATTAGAACCACATTCTCCGATCTAAAATTATTAGAAATGTATAGCAAACAGTGTGGAGAATTCATGTTTAGATATTTCGAATCTCCTTAGGGCGTACCCTACAATTTCCTTACCAGGGGTCATTATGTCTGGGTTAGACTCGGAGCAGAAACGCGACTGCACAAACCTTGATATCATAGTGATCCTTAAGTCCGTCCTCTACGTGACTCAAGAACTCGAAGATGTCGAGACGATCGAGAGATGTGTCTAGAAGGGTGTACATACATTCGAACGCTGCCTAAAAACACAAGTAAGCCAAGATCATGTCACAAGTCAGAACGTTCATACACCAACTCTTCCCATTGATTTATTTTCGTTTTCTAGGTTTAAAATGCAAAGAGATGTTTAAGCGAACTCACAGTAACCGCAGTGTAAAGTCTGCCTACACTGAATATCATCACTAACACAAGTAAAAGCAAAGGGACGTGTATGAATTGCTGCAATACACTTTGACTAATGCCCCATTCATACCAGCAAGACATGTTAAGTCAAACGAATAAAATCAACAAATAGGAAACTGGAAGACTAAGTTTACATAGGGTTCGAGTTATCACTACCTTTTGTTTTCATCGCGCTAAATTTGAAGTCAACAAACATCACGTTAAGCAGCTTCAATGAGGAGAACAATTTCAAACCGCGTTCGACAAAACAGCCTTAAAACGCGTTTTATCTCTGGTATGAAAGGGGCGGAAGCCAAAACTGAAATAAAACTCAACTGAGAGGGACATGTCCCTGGGCTACAAAGCGCTTTTGGAAAAGCAAAGAAGAAAAAACCGAAACAAAGCGAGACACTAACACAACAAGGTTCCTTGCAGCATTTGCCACCTTGTTCTCGTAGATAAATAAACCTCTAAGCTAATTTTAATGGAATGA